TGAAGGGGTGCGGCAAAACGGGCGCTGGGGGCACCGGGGCCATCATCTGCTGCGGCATGAAGGGCATCACCGGGTCACCGACAGGCAGCTCCACAGCCGGAGGCGCCAACACACCCGCACCCTCCCCTGCCCCTCCACATCCCCTCCATCAGCAGCGCCCTGCTGCGCCTCAGACAGGGGGAACTGCGGCGTCTCCACGGCCACGGCGATGGGTGGCGGGGGAGGGAGGAAATGAGCCGAGTTGGGAATGGACGGCGGCGCAAACGAGGGCGTTGGCTGCAGCTGGGGCTGAGCAACAACACCTGCGGGGGACGCCTCACCATTGTCGGACTGGCCGATTGCTGCTGCAGGGTGAGAGAGGGGACCCACCACCACATCAGCCTCTTGCTGGTGCAGCTGCTGGTGCTGCTGCTGCTGTACTCCCTGGCCCTTTTGCTGTGGCTGTGGCTCCATTGGCTGCTGCAGCTGGTCAGCCACTTGGCCGAAGTGCGGGGCATCAACGGTGTCTTCATCCACGCGATTGTTGGGGGGCGGGCTGTAGCAGCCCGGCCGATCGCCGCCCTCCGGCTGCGTGCCGAAGTACGCAACAGGCTTGAAGGCGTCGCCTTGCAGCTCGACGTTCTGGCCCAACCACTGTTTGGTCTCCACAGTGGCGGCTTCCTCGGCAATCTCACCCTGCGGACACGGCTGCTGCAGAAGGGGCAAGGGAGATAACAGAAGCGGCACTTTGAGAGCTGTCAGAACTGTCGTGTGTCGCGTATGTCGCTTGTCCAACCTGGTGAGTTGGCGCCTCGTCAGCAGGCGGCTCCTCAGCAGCGTCATCTCCAGACAACTCGGCAGCAGCATCAGGAGGCGATGGCCCGTCCTCCGTCTGCGCCTCAACAGTCTGCAGACACACAGAAAGGAATCAGAGACACAGAAACCGATGAAGGTGACAGACACGGAGGTTCTCCCGGGGCCTGCCTTCCCTTCCTGCTCACCTCGACGACGACAATCTCCGTCTGGGTCGTGGCATGACCCTTGCCCTTCGCCCCCTCCCTCCCCATGCCCTCCCTCGCAGCCTTCAGGCACTCGTCCCTCACCTTGATCAGGATCGCCATCTCATGCTCCTTCTGCAACTTGCTCTTGACCTTCTCGGCCTCCTCCCGCAGCAACGTGTGGGGCTGCCGCGCCTCGAGCCGAGCGATGGCTTCGAGGGCCTTCCGGCACTTCTTGATCGCCTTGATGATGATGCTGAAGCTGTACTCGTGCTCCTTCAGGTACTTGAGAAGCCGCTCGTCGTCCTGCCCGGCTGACTGCCCCTCTCCGTCCTCCTTGGCCGGTGTGTCGGTGTCCTGGGGCGTCTCCTGGGCGGGGGTGCTGCTGCTGCTCTCCCCTGACGCTGGCTCTTGGTCGAGGCCCGGCTCGTGTTCGGGGCCTTGGTGCTCAGGCTCGTTTGCTGGGGCGAGGGCATCCGGGACGGCCTGGGAGGGCTGGTGTGCGGGCGATGCTGGCGGGGCGGCCTCTGACTTGTTCTGAAGGGCACAGAGACCACAGCAACAGAGGCGTGGGGACGGTCAGAATGTCGGTCTCGCAAATGGTGCATTCCCCGCCTGACTTGCCCCCCTGCTCACCTTCTTCTTGTTCTTTTTCTTGCCGTTCTTGCGACTCCCGTCTGATGGCATGGCTTGGCTCTCCTCTCTAATGGGTCAGAGCCGTCGGAGCCTCTGCTTGCACCAGAAGGACAGAGGGGAATAGGAAAGTGATTTTCAACAGCAAAGCTCCTTCTCCTCTGCGTGGGCTGATGAGAAGAGCTGACTTCAGATTTTCAACAGGCAAAGCTCCTCCTCTCAGATTTTCAACGGCAAAGCTCGTGCGTTGAAAGCTCGCACGTCGTGCACGACCGCTCATCGTCCTCCTCCTCGCTCGCATCACCCTCTCCATCTAGCGAGAGGGTGCGCCGCTCGGAATGCTGAGCCGCGTGCCAACTGACTGGCTCATGTTCTTGATATGCAGAGTCCTGCCGAGCGCCTTGGTCTTCCGGTACGCTTCAAGCATGCCTGCAAGGCCTTACCAGACGACATGAGTCTATTGCGGTGCATGTGTGATGCAGGCTGAGTGGCGTCTGCAAGGAGTTTCATCGCATCTGCTGCCGTGTCACACATGTGATGAAACTCGTCATCGCGGGGAACGAGAGGCCAATCAAGGCGACACTCACCAGCGGCAACCTCATCGCGCTCACAGGCAGCTACCACTACTTCGCTGACGCATGGGGAGGCAACGCAAGATCAAGGGGTCTCATCCGCCGCCTAATCGAGGGAAGCCGAGTGAGTCAACTCGTCATAGCGGGCCACCTCATCCGCTCTGAGGTGACTGGGCTGCTGAGACGCTTCACAGCTCGTGTGGCCGGCCAGGAGCCGGACCACTCCCTGACGCAGCTCCGGTGCGCCGCTCGGTGCATCCCATTTGTGATGAGCCACATCAAGGACAGCAACGCGGCTGCATCGATGAGTAGCCTCAAGTGGGTCAGGATGGAAGGGCGTTTAGCGAGGGGGCAGCTGGAGATCATGGCCCGCAACCTGCCGACGTTACAGGGCATTCGAGCATCGTATTCAGGTAGGGGATAGATAGGCTGGGATGCATGGATGGGCAATCTTTGCTTACTCGTTGGTTGTGTGGTGGCTTTGTTCGCAGAGGACTTGATTGAGGACAACGTGTTGAGGCTTTTCCCGAGTCTGACACATCTCGAGGTATGCGATCCAATGCAATGCCCACGGAGAGCCGGCAAGCTTGATGTGTGCATATGGTTGTCCTTCCTTGGTCAGATTGACGTCCTGCCGTTATGGGCGTTGCGTTTCATCTGCACCGGCCCCTCGACCACGCGAGCAGCCGAACTGCTCACCTTCGTGGGCTTCCAGACGATGCTAACGGCGACCACTGCCACATTCCTGCGCGACATGCCGCAACCAAGGTCTGACCTGACGTTGCCACAGACAGGTTGACACACGTGGGTATGTGTGGTGTGTCCTCACTTGTGTCGATGCGTCCCTCTTCCTTCCTTCAGGCGTCTGAGTCGCGTGACCAAGGTGTCGTTCGTTCGTGTCGACGCCCGGGGGCAGGTACTCCGCATTCTGGCCGGCTTCCTCCCCTCCCTAGAACACCTCACATGGTGTCGTGTCGATGCCGTGCCTGATGACGAGTCCGACGAGGACGAGCTGCCACACAAACGACGCCGGACGACAGAGCACCCACAGCCAAGTGTGGCATCGGCCTCGGCATCGGCTTCCCCTGGTGGCCGTCGGTCGGCGCCGGTAGCTGCTGCAGTGGAGGGGCCCATGATAAGGAGACTGCATCTCTGGCTGGACTTTGCGACGTCGTGCTGCACAGTGGCCGAGGTGGGAAGGAAGAAACGCTTCCGCGCGGCACATCTGGCACATCTGTAGTCGTGTTCTCTCTTGTCCAGGCACTTCGAAGTGTGTCGCGGCATCCCCTGCTGCAGGGCGTGGAGCTGCTGAGGGTGGGGGGGTCATGGCACCACAAGGGGGCTGAGGTGCTCCCAGCGGTGCCCTGCCGGCAGCAGGAGACGGTCACCCTAGGCAAGCGCGGACGACAGGAGGGGACGTCGTCGTCGAGTGCTGCCGGCGAGCCATCTGCACCGTGCGGCCTCTGCACCATCGGGCCGCTTCAGCAGCTGGCGTATCTCAAGGGGGTTGTGTTTGACATGCCCTGCCTGGGAGGGGCGGCAGCAGCTGCATGGAGGGCGAGGGTGAGGGGCCAGCTGCCGGCCGTATCGGCGGTGCGGTACAAAGATAGCTATGCGTTGAGACAGAACCGGCCTGCATGACATGATCAGATGGATGGTGGCCCGCTGCGTAGACTGGACGAATGAGAGGCTGTCTAATGCGTGGGGTGGTTGTGTGGACGAGCTTCGGATACACGGCATTCATTGTATGGGTTAGTCGGGCTGTACATATCCACGAATGACATGCATTGCAACACGTGAGTGGAAGGAAGAAACCACCGACCGCAGTGAGTATCGACACCAAAGATAGATACGTCACGTCGGCCCACGAATGCCCTCATGCCAGGCACACAAACACATGACATGCAGCCATGCAATGCATGCATCTGTTAACCATCCTTCCTCCACAAAGTTGAGGTACACGCACGAGGGGCCCCACCGACATCATCCGATCTGATCTGAGCTGTACACATATTTGGTCGGCTATGTGTCCGTCCGTCCGTCACGGCCATAATCAGTGGGACAGACAACATTATCGTCTTCTGCGCCCACTGGTCCTCCATACCTGCACCATGCATGCCATGCCATGATGCCTGTGTTACAGCATGCCGGACACCCTGGCCGGCCTCGTTCGTTTACCTCTGCCTGCAGTGTGGTCTGGGTGGTGAAGCTGTCTTTGCGCATAACGGTCCGCAGGAACTCGGTGCAACACTGACACACGACACACATCGATCACACGACATCCGAAGGGCGTGCTTATGCTGTGTCCACACATTCATTCGCTGACCACAGCGATGACCATTCCGAGGAAGACGGCGACGCAGAACAGCCCAATGGTCAGCGAAAACCCTATCTTGCTCTGGCTGTCCACAGCTGCACACACACACACACACACACGCCACACACACAACACACTCGATGCCCACTCTCTCCTCGCCTCTGTGTGTGTTGGGCATGCGATGTGTGTGGATGAGTCTGTCAGTCTGTCAGTCAGCCAGTCTCACTTAGTTGGCATGACACGCCGGTGTATGGGTGTCTGCAGAAGCACTGCGAGTCCTCACATATCCCCCGGCCCTCCACACACGGGGGGCTGCACTGGTGGGGGTCCTCCACCGCCGATGCCTTGTCGCCACCCGCTGCTGCACTAGTACTGGTAGGGGCCGGCTGCTGCTCGTCCTGCTGGGTGTGGTGCGCGTGTGTTGTGTGGCGCCGGATGGTAGAGAGGGCTGTGTTGGCGGGGGCAGAGAGAACCACAGGCTCTGAAGGGTTATCCGACAGAAGGCACACACACATGTTTATGCTATTCCCTCGTCACGTCTGCCTTACTTAGCATTTTGAGTACGACGACAGACGGCCTTCCCCCTCCCTCTCCCCCTCCCTCTGTCTGCTGCTGCTGCTGCCGCTGCTGCTGTTGTTGCTGCATCCGCCCTTCGTCCCCCCAGCCGCCCGTTGATGCATCGTAATCACGATACGGATGAGCAGAGGCCGGCTCGACGCGATAGCCGTACCCATACTCATGGTCAAAGTCACTCCCGTCCGCAGCCTCCCGTCTGCGCCAGTCGATGGAAGAAGTGACAGCTCCACAGTGCAAGCACAATAGCAACGTGAGCACCGGCAGCAGAGGGTGCGAGTAGCGCCACGGGTGGCCAGGGCTGCTCTTGCGGCTGGTGGCCGAGGGGATGGTGGGGTGAGATCTCATGGGTGGGGATTCATCTACTTCACGAGTTTGCGACGAAGCTGCATCCGCTGGCAAAGGGGATGAACACGGCCGGTCGGGGGAGGGGTGGAAAGGCCTTCTGCGCATCCTCAGTGGTGCCATCGCTCATTCTCACTGCCAAAAGTGGAAAATCACCACAGACAACGCCGCGGTTGCTGATTGCGTCTTCCACAAAGCTGCTACGTCCTCCTTGACGCCTTCTTCGCCTGAAAGCGATCCATCTCGTTGCGAGCTTAGTTTCCTTTCCAAAGAGCAGCCGTCAAAAAGATCAGGCCTCGCGAGTTGTCATGCACCCCCGTCGTGTAGCGATACAGCAGCTGCCTCATCTGCCAGTGCCATCAGGGCTGGGAGCCGCGTGCAGAGGAGTGTGGTCGTCGGCACCGCGCCATGCAGTGGCAGGCGGTGGGGGCCGTGTGCGTCATTATCACAACTTCAGTGTGGACATTGGCCCGGTGCCCATCGACGTGACCATCCAGCCGCTGCAGCTCTTCTCCGTCAAGGGAGAGGGATCTGCCGAACACGTCATGAAGGTCAGAAAGAAAGGACTCTCAGAGGGGAGGGAGGAAGACAGAGGCACACACACACACACACACACACACAGACAGCCAGCCGCCGCAGCACAGACCGCCTTCCTTCCACCCGCCCTGATCCTTCCTGTGCGTGTCTGGTATGTGTGTGTGCAGATGGTTCAGGACGATCAGCCCAAGATGGTGCTGTTGTCCATCGACGATGACATGTACGACGTCATATCCCGCTCGTTCAACAGAGGGGTGAGGCAACGAGCCAGCCACCAGACCACGCCATGCCACCTGGCAAAGGGAAGATCCCACCCTGCCTGTGTTTGTCGATTGCGTCTGCCTGCACAGGATCTCTTTGCAGCTGGTTATACAGAGCCGGTGAGTGAGTGAAGGGTTGATTGACTGACGCAGACAGACAGACAGACAGACAGGACCATTCCATTCCCCCACCCACTCGCCCATCCATTGTGTGTGTGGTGGTTTCTTTGTGTTGTGCCTTTCTTTGTTTCTTTGTTTGTGCCTCTATCTATCTATGTATAATAGATCTTTGTGGTGATGCAGCGTGTGCAGGGTGCGTGGATCCCCACCATCCAGCGCTGCCTCCTCGACAAGATACCCCATTTCTGCATCGTCAGGGGACAGGAAGTACGTACACTAATCACAGCACACCGAAGCAAAGACAAGACAAGACGGACGGGAGGGAGGGATGGCAACACTAAGGCTGCCTGGGAGGCTGACGCACCACGGACAGACAGACGGACAGACAGACAGACAAACACATGCCCTCACCAGAGTGGAGTGCCTGTCCTGTGTGTGTTGTGTTGTGTGATGTGTGCAGAAAGCCATGATGTCGGTCTTTTCCAACCTCTCCTTCAAGCCGAAAGAAGTCGCGGTAAGCCACACACCCCCCTTCCCCCCACCCCCCCCCCTTCCCACCCCTCCGTCCGTCCAGCGAACTGTCGAGCACCCAACGGGCTGGGCTGACGCATGGCGTGGCGTGGTGTGTGTATGTGTGGCTGCCCTGCACACAGGTCCAGTGGCTCACTATGCTCCTTAAAAGAATGCCCTTCTTGCTTGTAAGACAAGACACACACTTTGACTAAATTGGGTGGGTCGTGTATCGTCCCCCCCCTCCGTCTCTGTCGATGTGTGTGTGTTTGTGTGTGTGCAGCCGCGTCTTCACGAGTACTTCAACGCCAGGTGGTTTCGCAAGTACGCCCCCACCATCTACAGGGCCCAGTTCAAAGAAGAGTAAGCAAACCACTCAACATACCAACCCACCTCATCTCATGCAATTCACGACAACACACAGACAGGACAGGACACGCCTTATCAGTCTGACTGCCGGTTGTCTGACTGTCTGTCTGCCTCAGCTGCGAGTACATGTGCGTCAAGGCGCACCACTTCATCCGCCATGCGGTGCTCGCCGGCCTCAACCCCAGGAAATGCCCTCCCATGGAAACCGAATTCGGAGAAAAGTCACACACACACACACACACTGACTGTGGCGATGGACGGATGGATGGATGTATGTACTGGATGCATCCATCAATCAGGGTGATCCTCCGTAAGAATGACCGTGTGTTGCTGGTGTGTCACGGCGAGGACTTTCCCCTCCTCAGCGCCAACCTCCCCCTCTACCTCAGCAAAAGTACACACAGACACGATGCACACACACAGCAAGCAAAGCAAAGCAGAGCAAAATGTGAAGGAAGCAAGGAACGAATCTCCGTGCCTCCCTGTGTGTGCGTACTGCCTGCTGCCATCCATTTATCCATCCATCAGTGCAACTCCACGAGCCCAACATGAAGCGCGTGAAGCTCATGGACGCCCCGGTGCGAACACATGTGCAATGGCTGCCATGGCATGACTCAACCAACGAAAGTACCGAGACCGACCGTCATTCATTGTGTTGTGTATTGTGTGTGTAGGCCAGCGGCAGAGCTTACTGGACGCACTTTGTCTACGTGTACCTGCCCAACGCCTACTTGGCGCTGTAAGCAAACACACACACACCAATCAACCAGCCAACCATCCAGGAGCGCGCTCACCTTACCTTGCACCCCTCAATGCGCCTGCCTTTCTCCCTCCCTCCCTCCCTGTCTGTCTGCCTGTCTGTTTGTCTGGCATCTGTGTGTCTGCAGTGGCATAATATCTCTGATCACCACAGGGTACTGGAGCTTCTACGGTACGGTCATCAGGCCAACCAAACTCCACATCGGTCAGGAAACACACCATCCCAACACACACACACACACACACCGTGCGGCAGTCATATATTCGCTCATTGCCTGCCTGCCGCCCCGTGTGGTGTGTGCAATCCAATCCAATGATCAGGTGGCAACCGTATGTTGGAGGAGGAGCTTGTAGCGTTCGATTCGCAGCAGAACTACGCGGCGCGCAGCCTGGGTGTGCGTGTGCCCGAGATAAGGGAAGACGCCGAGAAGGAGAGCAAGGTGGACAAGCGGCACTTCATAGACAAGACCCGGGAGGAGGAGAAGATCGAGTACATGGGCAACTGGCCATTCAGATGGGAAAGGGACCTATCCAGGGACTGACTGATGACTGATGACTGATGACTGATGACTGACTAAGTTACCTACCGGGAAGAGGGCTGTGTCCCGTGCCGTGCATGTTTGTCTCTGCACAGCGTCTTTATCCGTCTCCATCCATCCAACGGTCTCTGCTTCCGTGTGTGTCGTTTGTTGTCCGCCCTTCGGTGCTGCTGCCTTTGCCATGCGCTGTGGCGGCACCCTCCGCCACACGCTGGCTGCACGTTGGGCGTGTGGTGACGTGTGTCGTGGGCGGGGAGGGTTTGACTTGGCAGCACTGCACTGCACGAGTGAGGCACGGACTGGCGATTGACAGACTGTAACATTTACAAGCCCACCGCCACCTGCATTGATTGCATGAGTTAGTTCGGAAATCATTCATTGGATCAGTACGGTACGTGTAGCTAGTGTCCGCGAGGAATGTATAGGGCTTTGCTCATGTGCGGCCAGCCGTCAGTCTGGTTGAGGCCGATCTGGACGACGAACCATCTCCATCAGCGAAGTGCACCAACTGACTGATGGGAATGCAGCAGCCTCGAGATCGGCATCAACACAGCACAGGCGGAAGAGGCACCCAAGAGCACAGCACCCCCAGCTTTGTCAGTGACTGAAAAACGCGGCAGCCCATGCAGCCCCTCGTCTGTCTCATCTCATGTCACTCACACAACTAACTGCACACACGGCCCATAAATCGTCACGTCATCCATCGGCTGGCTGGCCGGCCCCTTCCTTCCACTCCCTCCCTCGACAACCAAAAAGCTATCGATAGCCAGATGAACGAAGAGATATCAATAATCAAGTCGCGCACACGTCACGTAGTCTGTCTGCAGAGGCAGGCCAGGCCAGCATGGCTGGGGCTGACCCACACAGATATCTGTCTGCATGACATGCTGTTCCCTCCCTCCCTCCCTCTCATTGATATATGGCAGTCAGTCAGCACTTGTCGTCGTGATACATCCAGTTGTGCTGCTGACCGCCAGCCTTCAAATCAGCATCTGACGGACAGACAACACACGGACAGCGAACCTCCCACGGGCAATCAATCATCCTGCCTCCCTCCCTCTCCTCCCCTCCCCTACTGGCTGGCTGGCTTACGTGATGCGTTGTCGAGTGGGAGTTTCTTTTCCTTGGCGCTGGAGAGCATGCTGAGGATAGAGAGTGCGACGGATGCGACGGTGAGTGTGGGTTTCCAGTCGGTGCCCAGTAGGTTGAGGCAGATGTCGCCGTTGGAGTAGACGTGGGGGTGGCGGGGGGTGGGCTGCAGGAAGTAGATTATTGGCGGCTTCAGGGGGTACTCGGGCGGAAACACTATCTTCAACCGGTACTTCTCACCTTTACACACACAGACAGACACACGGACAGAAGGAGTGAAAGGGAGAAGGCTTGTAAGTTCTCTGGGTGTGGTGTGGTGTGTGGTGTGCACTATGTATGGTTGACCCACCCACCTTCATAGAGTGTCCCCTCCACCCCCGTGAGTGTGATGATCCACACGCGTATGTTGCTGCCGACGGCTATCTCGCAGTGGTCCGGAGGAGTCGTCAAGAAATCCTTCAACTCCTGCACCGCATGCATCATCAACACCCCCATTGTATGTCTGTGCGTCTGTCTGACCTTTTGTATCCTGTAGTTGACGTGTCCCGGCCTGAAGCTCCGCCGCAGATGGTCCTTGGCCGCACCACGAACCGATGACCGCCGCTTGGCCGCCGAAGACGGCACGTTGGCGACTCGAAGGGCGGCGGCATTCAGTAACCTCGACGACCGATCCTCGGTCTGCAGCCCACACGCGAGGGCGATAAGTGAGCAGAAGGCTGTGACAAGCATCCTCAGCCACGGGGACAGCCGCAGAGGTGAGTGGAATGATGACGTCGCAGACGTCGTCAGCATCTTGATTGATCGATTGGCTCTGAATCAAACAGCACAGCCGAATGGGAAGCCTCTCAGATCAGCAAGCAGCGCGTCAGATCTGGCGTCGATCGGCCGGCACCTGCGAGCTTAGCCACAACGGGAGGGGGAGAAAGAAAGGAGCACATGACCATGAAGACCACGGGGAACCCTTTTGGGAACCTCTTTCGGCCGCGTATGAAGACTCCCGAGGCGCCACCGCCCACCAATGGCCCTCCGCCGCAGCAGGCGCCCGCATTCACGCCAGACATCGATGTGCTGGACTCTCCGGCAGCCATAGCCATCGCCGCGGCGGCCATCAACAGCAACAGCACCAGGCCGGCTGCCCCTGAGGTCGTGCCGGTGAGCGAGTCCAAGGGCGTGCCGATGGTAGGGCAGGGCAGCGACAGGATTGACGTCGCCACCAACATGACGGGCGGTGTGGCCATGACGGTGTCGACGAGCGATGTCGACATCCGGCAGCAGGCACAGGACAGCTCGGGGGTCAACTCGTCTGGTGCCTCGAGTGGGTTTGACTTTGGGAGGGGCAGCGAGGGCGATGGGGGTTCGTATCCGCTGCCGTCGAGCAGCAGCGATGTGGCGGCGCCCATCACTGCCGACAATATGGCCAACCTGGCGCTGTCGGCATTCAACTCGAGCAAGAAGGTCGCACTCGACGACTTTGTCCTCCTCAAGGTCATCGGCAAGGGCAGCTATGGTATGTATTGTACGCTGGCTACGCTGGCTGAGAGGGGGGAGGAAGCTGAGCGATGAGGCGATGCGATGCCTGTATTGCTGTGTGGCTGTGTGTGACGTGTGTGTGGTGGTAGGTAAGGTGATGTTGGTTCGGCACAAGACCGACGGCTGCATCTATGCGATGAAGATGCTGCGCAAGGAGAACATCGTCAAGAGGAACCAAGTCGAACACACGAAGACCGAACGAAACGTCCTCGTAAGCAGTCGACACACGGCACACACAGGCAGGACAGGACAGGACAGGACAGGCACACACACCAACATTTGCGCCTCGCCTCACCTCACTCTCTGGTGTGTGGTCGCTGGCTGGGCTGCAGGAGTATATATCGCATCCGTTCATCGTGCGTCTGGTGTGCGCATTCCAGACAGTCAAGAAGCTCTACTTCGTCCTCGAGTGAGCTGACTGAGCCCACAGCCATGTGACCGGCGTCATACCATTGATATGTATCTCCCCCTGTCTGTTGTGTTGGCTGTCTGTCTGCATATATCTAGGTACTGCCCGGGCGGTGAGCTGTTCTTCCACCTGTCAAGGGCCGGGCGATTCACAGAGCAGCGGTGAGTCTGACCAGACGTCACGTGTGGCCAGACATTCATCCATACATGTGAGGGCATCCATCCATCTGTCTGTCGTGTCTGTCAGTGCTCGTTTCTATTCGGCTGAGATCATCTTGGCCCTGGAGCACCTCCACAAGATGGACATCGTATACAGAGAGTGAGTGAGCGACAGACACAGACGACACCACACGACACCCCAGGCCAACCAACCAACAACCACCAGACAGACGGCCATGAATGAATCTCCCCTCCCTCCCTCTGTGTGTCTGTGTGTGGTGTGTGGTGTGCAGTTTGAAGCCCGAGAATGTGTTGTTGGATGAGGAGGGCCACATACGGCTCACCGACTTTGGGCTCTCCAAGGAAGGCATCCAGGGTAGGTGAGGTGTCACAGTCATACGTACGTCACGGTCGCATCAATCCCTCCCTTCCCTGACTGATCAGACAACACGTCTGCTCGATCGCTGTGCGGCACGCCTGAGTACCTCGCCCCAGAGATTTTGAACCAGACGGGCCACGGCAAGGCCGTCGACTGGTGGAGCCTCGGTACGTCAGCCAGTCAGACAGCGAGGAAGGGAGGGACGGGGGACGCGCGCAAACAGCCAACACTCTATCTACACTACACCACTTGTATTGTGTGCGCCGCCTGGTTGTCTGTCCTTCAGGTGCGTTGATATACGAGATGCTGACTGGCCTGCCGCCCTTCTACACGCGCGACCGGGAAAAACTCTTCGAAAACATCCGAGCGTGAGCGTCCAACCAACCACACACACACACACGGAACCATAATGGGGCCTGTGCCTTTTCTTCAGTGGCGATTTGCGGTATCCGTCGTTCATATCTCCGGTGGCCAAGTCTCTGCTGCAGGGGCTCTTCCAGCGAGACCCCAACCGCAGGCTGGGCGGGGGCAACACCGACGCGGATGAAATCAAAGTCAGCCAAACCCACCACCAAACCCAAACACCGAGGGAGCGAACCCAACTTACCCTCGGATGTGCGGTGTGACGTGACGTGTCTGTCATTGTGTTCAGTGTCACCCCTTCTATGCGTCGGTGGATTGGGATGCGCTGCTGCAGCGCCGGATCACCCCGCCCTTCAGGCCCTCACTCGCCTCCAAGACCGACGTCCAGTACTTCGACAAGGTAGCTAGCTTACACAGCTAGCTGGCATTTGATTGCACCCTTCCTGTCATGGCGTGGGTGTGGTGTGCCCATGGCTGGCTGGTTGGTTTGTTGCGAGCAGGAGTTTGTGTCGCTGCCGGTGATCAACTCGGAGGTGCCCGACTCAGCCCTCAGTAAGGAAGGAACCATGCCAGCCAATGGCCAATGAATGAGACACCAGACGGTCCTGCTCTGCTCATGCTGCGTTCGTCTCTGTCCTGTTGGTGGGTCGGTCGATCAGCGCACGCGATGCAGCAGGATGACAACCACTTTGAAGGATTCACATACGACCCAAACCGACACAAGTGAGCTCTTTCTCTCACACACAGACGCCAGAAGCAGCCCTATGTCCATCCTGGACGACGCACGCGGTGCGTGTCTGTCTGGTGTCTGTCAGGTCGGAACTTCATCAGGCCATTGCGGAGGAGGGCTGAGAGATGAGTGACTGAGTGAGCCGAGCGAGAGCTGTTCTGCCGCGAGATGATTGATGCACTGCACGGGATGGAGAGAGACGGCCTGCGAAGTCCATTCACCCCCCTCCCCCGTTTTTCCAACGCCAGCCATGTGTCCGTCCGTGTGGCCGAAAGGCACTGGTGCGTGATTGCATGTGCATTATGGTATTTTTTGCGCCGACGCCCCTGTTTCTGTCTGCCTGTCTGTCTTGTTTCTTCTCCGTGCTGTGTTTGTATTTATGTATCATAATACACCCTACCCTACAGGGCGGATGGGCGGAGGGGATGGGCGGCTCTGGGTGCATTCATTTCATTCATGTGTGTGTGTTTGTCTGTATTTATGTTGAGAGTGTTTGTAGAGTGGGGGGGAGGATTGAGGCATCCATGTGTGCGTCTGGCGGAGAGGCATCCATCATAGCGAGGAAAGGCCAGGAGCGTGAGGTTGCGCTACCTCGCTACTTTCTCTACCTCCTCCCGCCGCTTGCCTTTCCTCGCACTCAGCGAGGGACATCGACCACTGACAGGGTTCATGCACGTGAGAGCGAGTGTCTGGGCATTTTTCGCATCCATCGGGTGCGTATGCGTGTATGTCGTCAGTTAGGGAGGGAGGGAGGAGACAGACCTGTGTGTCCATCCATACATCTATCCATCCATCGACCCATCACACGCAGCTGCGTCGATAAACATCGTACCCAGAAGACGTGCTGACTGCCACAAGCACCAACCCTTCCCGCAGTTACAAGCGGAAGGACGGGCCATGCGACCACTCTAGCACACTCGCAAGTACGAGGCGAGGCATGCACTGCACACCCAGTCAGTCATCTAAACAAAGGTAAGAGACACCCGTTGGGCAATCCAATCGCATTCATTCGTTCCAGAAACCACCCACCCCATCCATCGTCAAAACCCATCACGCAGACCGCATACATTTGTGTGTGAACGCACTCCGGGCCAGCGAAAAAGATGACATCAGGTGGCTGTATATATGCATCGGTCAGAGTGTCTTCGCTCTCATGCTCATCGAGCGACTTGACAAAAGGCGCAGGCAGGATGAACGGGAGGGATATATGGATGGGACGGAGGCCGGGCTTTCCACCCATACAACCCACCCATCCATCGATCCATCCATCCGTGGTAATGGAGAAATACCCGCAACACAACACTCACTCGCGAAAGAGACCGTGCGGCCCCACAAAAACACACACGTACACATGCACGACACCACCAGCAAGGCAAGGCAATGCACAGCAACAGCAAAATAATCCGCGCAATCCGCTCGCATCGCATTACTTTGCGGCATTTGACCTAGGTGACACTCTTATTTGCCCACGACCGACCGACCGACAAAGAGGGAGACACGGAGAGGACAGAACGACGTATGGTGGATGGGATGGGATGGGATGCCGCGTGTGCGTCGAGGATGGACGCACGGATCATAGCTCATATACCTACCTAGCCTCTCTCGCTCATCCCCATCTCCCATTCTCTCGTCAGCCCTCTCTCTATGTCCGGTGTTCGGTCGGCATAGCAGCTAACCGTCGCAAAGACGAAAAAAGTGCTCTCCTCGCCTCGCCTCTCTGGCTATATGACTCACTCGTGCGTCGGCCGCAAGCTCATCGCTGAATGAAGGACAGCGGGGCTGACATGACGAGGCCCCCTCGGCTGTCTCATGCAAGCTCCTATTCAGCACTCTGTCTGTCTCCCCGGCAAACAAAAGGCACCTACCCCACCCCACGCCCCGCCCCTCCCTGCAACCAACAAAAAAGGGGAGGACACACCGATGTCGCAAACACTTCAGACACACACACACACACACACATATCAACCAGCTAGTTCAGCCCGACGAAGGGAAGCACGACAGAGTCACCAGGCGCCCACCCGCCGTGCAGCCCACATAGCTGGCTGTTCGGCAGAGACTAGCTGTCTCACTATGAGCGCCTCTCGCTGACTGGCGTGCCCGTCCTCGCCGTATGCCGCATGCGCGGCTCGCTCACCACACGGGATATCTCCTCCTCCACAGCACTGTCTAGCTCACCCCTCTCGCCCTTGCCCTCCCCGCCCCCTCCCTGCGTCATGGCAAAATCGGTCACGTCTACGCCCGCCAGCCGTGCCAGCGCCTGTATCTCCATCATAAAGAAGTGTGTCCATCGGTTTGGGTCGGGCAGCACCGCCTGGTCCGCCACGATGTTGACCCGGAGGCCGCCGGCCATCGACACCATGGCGATGGCGATGCCGCAGCCGCCACGCATCGGCGCGAAGCACAGGCAGCTGCTGCCCTTGCGGCCGGCCAGGGACCCCAGGTCGGAGGGGCCCGGCACGTTGGTGAACAGCGCGGCGGACTTGCTGGCCAACATGTCACCCAAATACTGCAAACAACAGGATAGCAGCAACATGAGGCCCGCCGCTTTTGTGTGGTGGTTGGTGGCAGGCAGTATGTGTTATGGCACGTACGTGTGACAGAGTCGGCGGGACGATGTCGGCGAGCACCTTGAGGCTCAGAGCCATCACCAGCATGTCCGTCTGACTCTTCAGACGCTGAATGGCCGTGTGCACCGACTGCATCCAACACCCAAACCACACCCACAAACAATTCACACAGCCATCCATCCGCCCTCTCGGTGCACTCAGTGCCTGTGTGCCACCATGCATGACTTACTTACCCTGAGCCTCTGAACCAACGTATCGTTAGGCGATGCCGGCACCCTGATGGGCACCGGGACCATGTTGTTGCCCATCTCGTGCACCTCATCGGTCCGCAAACTCACGGGCACGAACACGGGCAGCGTCATGGAGCGGTCCACTATCGGGCTGCCGTGCTGCGAGTGCGACACGGCATACCGCCGGTACGCCCCCACCAGCGCACACGTCAGGACGTCGTTGAGCGTCACGCGCGTGCCGATCAGTGCCGTGAGCTTGGACCGCAGGGGGCGGAATGCCTCGAGAGGCAGCTCGAGTGGTCTGCCGACCACCTTCTTGCCCGTCACCTGCTCCATGGGCCGTCTCGGGTCCTGCCAGCTGCGCGGCGCCCTCTCCATCAGCAGGCCCAGGATAATGCCCGGCGCTCGGAAGAAGCCCACAAAGGTCGATAGAATCAGCTGGGATCTGGTGAAGGCCGGCTTAAGCGCCGCTCCGTGGTAGGCAGCCTCAGGGTCGTCCCGCCGGCTGTCGAGTAGGTTCTCCATGATGCGGTAAATGATGCCGAGCCCGTCGGACATGCAGTGCTGGAGCCGCAAGATGACGTGCGAGCGCGGCTTTCCCTCTGGTCCGTCACCGGCCTTGTCTTGTGCCAAGAGGAGGCACCAGAGGGGCTTGTCGCGGGCCATAGGCTGGGTGCACATGCGGGACACCATGCCGTCGAAGGAGTGCTCCCGCGAGTCGTACTCCAGCTCCTGGATGTGCTGCGAGATGTCGAAGTGAGGGTCTGGCACCCACCGCAGCCGCCCGCACGCCCTCCTCGGGATGGCCGTGAGCCGCGGCTCCACAGACAGCAACCGGTCGGCCATGCACTGCCGAACGGTCTCCACGTCGATGGGCTCACACGTGTAGACGGACGTTATCACACTGAACCGAACCAACAAAGCCAGAAGGAAGGGACGTGGGAAGGTGGACACACCGCCCTTGCTTGTGTGGTGTGTGTCAGTCGGTGTGTGTCGTACCAGTGGTTGGCTTCGGTCTCCTGCAGCCAGACGCTATCGAGCGGCTGCAGTGGTGGGGGTGTCTTGTCCATGCCCCACACGCACCACGCCACCACCTCGCACACGGCACGGTACAGCCATGTCAGCAACGCGTAGGGGATTAGCACCGGATAGATGACGACAAGCGCCAAGACAAACGCAAACGCATCAAACAGCACCGACGACAGCACCGACGACACCACCAACGCGAACGCCGGCCGGGTGGATGTTGTCGCTGCGAGAGGAGCAGGAGGGCTTGTGAGGGTGGGTGTGTGGGGCGGACGGGTCTCTGGGATGCCGTCTTGAAGGAGGGTCTTGGCCGCAGTGCACGCCGACTGCGAAACCGTCATCAACTCGGACAGAGCTGTCGAGCGGGTCATTGGAGCCTCCATTCCCTCTCGTAGCTACCGCAGGACGTCCTACGCGTCGATAGGCCGCCTGTTCAAGGCGAGGTGAGGAGCAAGCTCGCAGAATAGCTCGCCGACCTCCGCCGTGAGCTGAGGTGACCCTGTAGGACTACAATGTATAGGAATATGCCAGTTGACCTCGGTAATGCTATTCAGCACTCTCTTCATTCTCTTCATTCGGATCACATCAACTGCTGTTGTTTGTGTGTCTTTCTCTTGTGTGTGGTGCAGTTCTGGTCCGCCACGGCCAGAGCGAGGGCAATTTGGCTCAGCAGCTCGCCAAGGACAATGTTGAGTTTTGGGAGCGGCACTGGTCGCCAGAGTTCAGAGAGCGCCACAACAGCCTCTATCGCCTCACTGACAAGGGCAGGTACCAGGCCAAGGTGGCGGGCCAGTGGATCAAGGGGCACATCACACCCGTATTCGACAAATACTTCACATCTGAATACGTCAGGTGCGATGAGCTGCATGCCATTGAATGGATGGATGGATGGATTGATGGAGGCAGGCAGGCGGATCGATCGCCCCATCCCATGCAATGCATGTGCTACATACACCTGTGTTGGTTGTGTGTGTCAGGGCGATGGAGACTGCGGCCAATTTGGATCTGCCTGGCGCTCGTTGGGTGACCGAGATGTACCTACGTGAGCGCGACCGAGGTGTGCTGGCCAACAAGCCCCACCCGGAGAGGGAGCTCTTCCATCCTGATGAGATCAAGAGGCGGGAACGGGATGCATTCTACTATCAGGTGGACGGATGGATGGATGGATGGATGGATGGATGGGCACGGTGGATGGCATGGCTGCGGGCGTCTGTCTGTTTGGTTGCAGCCTGCTGGTGGCGAGTCTATCGCTAATTTGTGTCTGCGGGTCGATCGTGTGATCGAGCACTTGTCGGAAAATGCTGGCGGCCTTAAGGTCATCATCGTCTGCCACGGAGGTACACACACACACACACACACACGACGGATGGGCATGTAAGGAGATCGAGCTCATGTCGGTGTGTCCATTGCTGCGTTGGCGCTTGCACCAATGCCTGCAGGAGTCATCAAGTCGTTTCGTGCGTTGATCGAGCGTGTGCGTCAGACGGACTACAAGCAGGTGTTCATGGAGAAGGGCTCCAACAAGATCCACAACGGGCAGATCGTCTGGTACACAAGAAGAGACCCCACCACAGGTGAGTTGAGTTGTTGATACGACACGCCAGACGAGCCCACCACACCGCTCTCGTGACAAATACATAACACGCCGTATGTATGTTCTTCTCTCTGTTGCTATCTATGTGTCCACAGGCTACATATCATCCAAGTACAACTGGGTCAAGTCGGTGTGTCCCTGGGACCTGAGCGTGTCATCCAACGAGTGGCGCGAGATACGCCGGCCCGTCTACTCCAACGAGGAGCTCCTCAAGTCGGTCCAGCAGGTGCCGCAGATGGTCAACGCGCGACACGACGTCCTCCTCCACCGCCCCCAGCGCATCTTGATCCCAGTGGGGTCGTCGTCGGCGGCATCCACCGGCCCCATGATCAGGCGCACAGTGACTGACGACAAGTATGGGCGTGAGGCGTCCCCGTCCCCGAGTGTGGGTGACGACAAGAGCCTGCGGCCCGAGGGCTCCCCCATGATGTCCGAGTATGAGGTGCCGTCGCCCACGGAGGACACCAAGAAGGAGCCCATCGACAATGGAGTGGCCGAGTCGGACTCGTCGAGCGATGTGGACATGGAGGGCTGGGAGGCAATGGGCTTCCCCGTCACCCAGGGCAGCTGGATGCGCGGTGCTTCACCCCAGTCGACCACACTGTCGGTCCCATCCAAGCCATCCAGGCCGACCCCCAAGGGCGAGAGGCAGCAACAGCGGCAGCAGCAGCCATCAGCAGTCTGCATGGTGCCGTCTGGTGCGAACATCGCCCCACTGGTCCAGGTCAAGGAGAGCAAGTCGCAACGGTGGGAGGTGTCCCAGTCAGTGCATCCCGACAGCGCCGCCCCGCACATCCAGGTCAAGGTGCGGAAGAGGGGGCACCACAGGCATGGCACCCACCACCGCCAGGGGCCACTAACCTCCGCCAAGAGGCGCATCGACGCCGCCCTCTCGCCCACCCGACGAGCCACTGACCCGCTCCTGTCGAGCGGCACACCGTCCAGCGCCCCCGCGGCTGTCAGCCGTGCAGAGACGCCCTCCAAGTCTGGGAGCTGTCCTGTGGATATCGAGAAGGAGCTGGTCGTGCCCTGCATTATGGGAGGCGGAGGGCATGAGTCTGACGGGTCTGACACCGACAGCGACTTCATCGACCTGCGCATCGACTTGGGCGTCATCGACCCTCGCAAGCACTTCTGGGCCTCGACCGTGACGGCATCGCGGCCGGTGCATGTGTCGTCGGTGCCGCTCAAAGCCCTGCCAGACGACGGGTCATCGATGGACCCGTCAGGGCAGACAGGCGGCAGCCCCAGCCCGAGTCGATCCAGCTCCCCTCGGGTGCGCGTCAGCCCTGTTCCCTCATCGCCCGAAGCATCGGTGCCCCATCTGGAGAAGAACCGCGACCAGAGAAGCGCTTTCCCGCCCTTCGCATACTCTGACCCTGAGGTGCACGGGCAGAAGGCAGTCGCTCGGGGCCATGTGGGTGAGGGAGGGGCAGGCGGGGTGGTCATCCAGGCCGTCGCCGAGCAGCATGTCGTCCAGGGCACAGCAGTTGTCGACCAGTCGTCCTTGTCGAGTTCATATGGTCGCAAAGCCTTCAAGAGCAACTGGTCGCTCAAGAGCTACAACAACTGGAAGGCCAAGAGGGGGGCGCGATCGTCCAAGGAGATCCTGCACATCCCTCCTCTTCCCGTTCCACTGTAAGCAGCGACATGCACTCAAGACGGAAGTATTCATCCGATGGTGTGTGTCTGTATGTGTCGCCATCTTTCTTCATGCAGGTCTGTGACGTCACCCCCCTCGCCCGTCCTCCCACCGGTCGACACTGACGAACTCTACACGAGTGTGCATCTGCCGACCAAGGCACCTGATGCCGACCGCAGGCGCCGCCCACCCGTCGCTCTGCAGATAACGACCAAGCTTGGGGGCGAGCCTAGCAGTGCCATCGAGTTGCCGGCAGGCCGCTCGGACCGCTTCTTCGGTGTGGGCACGAGTCAGGAGCCTCCCAGTCCGTCATCGACCTTCTCCAACTACAGCAGCTCCGATGCCATCACTGACGAGCAGCACACTGGTCAGCAAGGGGCCGCCACACGCGACATATACGAGACGACGCCTGGGGCTATCATCTTCCTTTCTCTTGCTGCCTTCGTGTGTGCAGCACCCGTTGTCGATCGTCTCAATTTGTCGCCGCCCAAGAGGAGACCAAGCCATGCCCACCAGCAGCAACAGCAGGGGCAGGGGCAGGGCACGGCAGTGGAGCGGCAAGGCGATGTCGATCCGCCCGAGGGCACTGACCGGCCGCCCTCGTCGGCGTCCAACACGTCCTCCGGGTGGTCGGCGATGCTGTCGCAATCAAGTCCCTGACGGAGAGATACAGAAGACGTGCTCACGGAGGCAGTTGTCGGTGGATGGATGGATGGGATGGATAGATGGAAGTGGTCATTTAAGGGGAGGGGCTTGTCTGTTGGTATGTATCTTGGCGCGTTTGGGGAGTCAGAGGGCTTCACACCGGCCTGGATGGGATGCGCAGTGTACAGTACACCACACCCTGCGTCTCGCTTTTCGCTGCCTTTCTCGGCCCTTCGTTAGCTAGCTGCCGTCCTGTAAAGGACGGACTTTGTTGCGGTTTGTGAGTTGAAGCGAGCTCACAGGGAGGGAGACACCACGAACAGACAGACAGACAGATGGCAGCAGTGTCGCAGTCTAGGGGGAGCGTTGCTCGGGCAAGAGAACGACGGCATGGATTGATTGAAGAGATTTGGTGTACGTACTTAGGAAGATCCACAACACCAGTGGAGACGGACCGTACGTCATTGATGCGCTTTTGAGATTATGCTACGAGGTGAGGAAAGACAACATTCTTCACCGCTCGTCCACCACGTGCGAGCTTGCAACGGCGCGAGCTTTGCCGTTGAAATCCCCCTTCTTTCTCTCTTAGTGCGGCCCGAAGAGGAGAGCCTCAGCCACAATCCCCGTCAGTCATGGGGAAGAAGAAGAACAAGAGCAAGGTGAGAAATGCACGTGATGCCATTGGTTATCATACGTCACATTCTGACCATCCACACGCCTCTGTTCATACGTCCCTGTGGTCTCTGTGTGCCTACAGAAGCAGTCACAGGCCGTCCTGGCAGCACCCCCCGCCCACCAGCCCTCCCAAGCCCCACCATCCCCCGGCGATAACTCGCCAACAGCGAACGCCGATGGGGCTCAGCCTGCCGCACCTGATGGCCCCAACCTCCCAGCGAGAGACCACCCAGCCCCCGACGACGAGCCAGGCCTCGACAACGACCCGGCGTCAGCAGACGACAGCAGCACCCCGGCCCAGCAGACGCCCCAGGACACCGACACACCAGCCAAGGAGGACGGAGAGGGGCAGTCAGCCGGGCAGGACGACGAGCGGCTGAAGAAGTACCTGAAGGAGCACGAGTACAGCTTCAGCATCATCATCAAGGCGATCAAGAAGTGTCGGAAAAACCTCGAAGCCATCGCTCGGCTGGAGGCGCGGCAGCCCCACACGTTGCTGCGGGAGGAGGCCGAGAAGGTCAAGGGCAAGTTGCAGAAGGAACAGGAGATGGCGATGCTGGTCAAGTTGAGGGACGAGTGCCTGAAGGCTGCGAGGGAGGGCATGGAGAGGGAGGGGGCGAAGGGCAAGGGTCATGCCACGACCCAAACGGATACCGTCGCTGTCGAGGTGAGCAGGGAAGGGAGGCAGGCCACGGAAGAACCTCTGTGTCTATCACCTTCATCGGTTTCTGTGTGTCTGAAGAGTACTGAGGTGCAGACGGAGGAGACGCTATCGCCTCCCAATGGCGTTGACGAGTCGCCTGCTGACAACGCTGCTGAGGAGCCGCCTGCTGACGAGCAGCCGCCAACTCACCAGGTGGATAAACGACATACGCTACACACGACAGTTCTGACAGCTCTCAAAGTGCCGCTTCTGTCATCTCGCTTGCCCCTTCTGCAGCAGCCGTGTCCGGCGCGCGACACACCGCCCGATGAGGCCGCCACTATGGAGACCAAGCAGTGGTTGGGCCAGAACGTCGAGCTGCACGACGAGGCCTTCAAGCCTGTTGCGTACTTCGGCACGCAGCCGGAGGGCGGCGATCGGCCGGGCTGCTACAGCCCGCCCCCCAACTATCACCTGGATGCGGACGCCGTTGGTGCCCCGCACTTCGGCCAAGTGGCTGGTCAGCAGCAGCCGCCAGTGGAGCCACAGCCACAGCCACAGCCACAGCCACAGCCACAGCAGGATGGCCAGGGAGTACAGCAGCAGCAGCACCAGCAACTGCACCAGCAAGAGGCTGATGTGGTGGTGGGTCCCCTCTCTTACCCTGCAGCAGCAATCGGCCAGTCCGGCGTGCAGGAGGCGTCCCCCATTGGTATTGCTGCTCAGCCCCAGCTGCAACCAACGCCCTCGTTCGCGCCGCCGTCCATGCCCAACTCGGCCCATTTCCTCGCTCCCCTGCCACCCATCGCCGTGGCCGTGGAGACGCCGCAGTTCCCCCTGTCTGAGGCGCAGCAGGGCGCTGCTGATGGAGGGGATGTGGAGGGGCAGGGGGAGGGTGCGGGTATGTTGGCGCCTCCGGCTGTGGAGCAGGCTGTCGGTGGCCCGGTGATGCCCTTCATGCCGCAGCAGATGATGGCCCCGGTGCCCCCAGCGCCCGTTTTGCCGCACCCCTTCAATCTCATGATGGCCCTCGCGGCGATGGGCAACGGCATGCAGCCCAGCGTCATGTTGCCCATGAT